TGCTTCCAAATCAATATGATTGCTATTTACAATATAAATTAGGGGTGTGTGAAATTTCGCCAGCTGTTTCCTTTCGACACTGTTTTGACCAATTTCGAGGTCAAAACAGCAAAATTGGAATAAAACAAAGGCCATTGAAATAGTCTTGGAAAAAAACAAGGTTGGTCGAAACATTTCAAAAGTCAAAACATTTCGACCATAGGCTGGGGATTGGGAAGTCAGCCCAGCTGGGCTGCTTTTCTGTCCCCAGCACTAGATTGTGCCAGGGGTGCCTGCCACCCTGAGCACAATCTAGCATGGAGGACAGTGTAGCAGCCCAGCTGGGCTGCTTCTTACCCTCGACCCAATCCAGCACTGGGGATTCCCATCCCCAGCAACGTCAAAACAGCCTTTCTGTTTCAATGGAACTGAACGGAACGGAACAGCTGTTTTGACTCAGAATGAAAGTCAATATGAAACACTGTTCTGTCAAACCGTCAAAACTCAAGGCAAAATGGAATAGTGCCATTTCACACAGCCCTAATATAAATACATTAATGTAGCAATATTACTCATCTATAATTGATCAAGTACAAAACACTGGGGTATTTTGGTGAAAATAGGGTATCGGGCCTTGGTTCAGGAACCAATCCCCCATTTGTAACATTGTTTCTTATGAAAAAATTGGTTCCAAGTTACAACGTTTTAACTTAAGACGCAGTTTTCAGGAACCAATTGTGTCGTAAGTCTGAGGACTGCCTGTATTTTATTTCTGCTTGGCCTGCAGCTGGGGCTGTTTCCACAATAACATTTTTGAGCATGCTTGTTGACTACACAACAAATACAGGTCATGGTGGGAGCTGTGGATATGGGGCACAAGGACTGCGTATATTAATATTTGCTTATCCCCAAAACATTTCCTTCTTTAGCCCCTATGTAAAATATGCACACTTGAAAAAAAATCACATAGGTTAAGGTTATAACCTGGACAAGATTTAGGATTTGTAATTCATAATTCATTCAGGCTAAAAATTTGTGCTTTTTATTAGTGGGTAGGGGAGAGTCCATATTTTCCACTGGGTACAGGACATATTTCTAGTCCTGTGCAACCCTACAATATTAAAGTCTTGCCTTTAAAATAAAATATATACATCAAACACATGGGCAGAAATAACAGGGTATTAACAATAATTATTATGAATATTGTCAGCAAACCAACAATTCTGCAAGCATGCTTGGGAGAATCTTCCAAGAGTCATAGCATAAGAAAAGTAGAGGACCAATAGAATAATGTTAAGGTAGAAATAAAACCGTGGATGAACAAAACAATATTAGCATAAAATTATTGTAATATTTCTACATGACACCATATAAGATATCATGTGGCTTGTTTCTGGCATATAACCCATTGCCAGAACATATGAAGAATACTACAAATATAAAATATAATTAGGGATAAAGATAGATAAGTATTTTTCAATGTTTGGCCCATCTTTTTAGTCCTTCATTTTCACTGAATGACTTTATCCAAGTACTCCATAATGAATGCATCCTCCCAACTACAAGATAGGCTGCCATAGCTTACCATTTAATCACATGATATATTTGGCATCTTTCTTAAAGTCCCATCTCCTTGAATGCTTTGATTACAGAAGGCATAAGACTCTCCGCTGTCGTTTAGGTGCAGAACTGAAAGAAACAGAGGCTGTGATTCACCAAAGGACCTTTTCAGGTCAATGCTTGGACCAGAAGCTCATCTGCCCCCTTGTTTATTTCTCCTGAGCTTGACTCATTAGTGGTTCATGAGGATAATGCCAAAAACACCACGTGGGAAAACGCAATTGATTTCACACAAGATGTTAACAAAAGATTAAACAGGAACTTTAAAATGGATGGGTGTTTACAAGGATGAATTAAAAACTCCAGCAGAGCTGAGATAATAAACATGGACCCAGAGGATCCTTTCCTAGTAATTTATAAGAAAATTCATCTAAACATATTTTTCCCAATATTTCTTTTTTTCTAGTCCTCACCACAAGAATGTCTTATAAAAAGCTTCTACAAGTCATTTTTAGAGCTCTTGGAAGTTGCCTTTTTTGTTTCTCTCCCTCTGATTCAATTGTTAAGAACTCTTCTGCATGTTGGGCATGTTGTGCACTCCCTGGGCAAGCAAGAGAGGAGGCGAATGTGTTAGAAGCTTATGTTTTCATCTCTCCAGGGTCCAACCTCAGCCCCCGCTGTTGTCTCAAGTGATGGGCAGCCTACATATACATAATCCTTCTCTGCGCAAGGCAAAGATTACATTGACAGTCATTTTGGCCAACCCGGATATGGTAACACACTCATTGCTCTGCGGTCTGTAATACAGGATGTTAGACTGCACACCAGGTCAAGCCTCATGCCAAACCACATCAACACATGTTCTGTTTCTGCTATGTCCGTGGCTTTGCCTTTGCTCACACAGAAATCATTTGCATGTCTGTGTGCGTACAGCAGAGAGGGTGAGAACAGTATGCTAATGCCATAGAGGCACAGCGGAAGGCTCTGTGCATGTTCTGCTGCTAAATAAAGCCTCAGAATACACACAGCCTCTGAATGACATAAGTGTCAAATGGCGGCATTGTATCTCCAAGTTCCAGAGGTGCCTGAGTTACAAGTCATGTCATGATTTGGCAAGTCATGATTTGGTTTATGGTCCAAAGAAGAGCTGCAGGTTTCCATTACCATCAAAATGCATTTGCCTGAAGCCTGGCCTTTTCACAGAGACTTAGTTTTGCACACTGTGGTTCTTGAAGCAATTGATTGATTAATACTTTCACTGGGTGATGATAGCCCACAGTCTATGGTTTCCTGGCAACCTGGTTATCTCAACTCCAAAGGATATGGTAAGCCAGAAAGGAGAGTCAAAGGAATATTCAGCAAAGGGTAGGTGGGGTGAGATTCCTGCTGAAGGAGCTGAGGCCTGTGATATTGTTCCTGGAAAAGGGAATCCATCCAGTGAGGAAAGCTGTTATGGAGACAAATGATACTTACATGCACAAACACAGAT